TCAAATTTCAATAAAAGTGGTATTTTGTTGAAAAAACACATTTTGATGAAAAATTTCTGGCCAGGTCTAGCTGAAACTTATGTGATAAACTGAAGAGCCAGGTGATAAAAAAAATACATCCATTGACAATAGGACAAGAAGTAATGGGCTTAATTTGCAGCAAGAAAGATTTAGGTTAGATATTAGGCAAAAACTTTTTAACTCTAACGGTAGTTAAGCTCTGGAATAGGCTTCCAAGGGAGATAGTGGAATCTTCATTGTTGGCGGTTTTTAAGAACAAGTTGAACAAACACCAGTTGGGGACAGGGCCGCCCAGAGGATTCAGGGGGCCTGGGGCAAAGCAATTTCGGGGGCCCTTCCATAAAAAAAAAGTTGCAATACTATAGAATACTATATTCTCGTGGGGGCCCCTGTGGGGCCAGGGGCAATTTGCCCTACTTGCCCCCTTCTGGGCAGCCCTGGTTGGGGATGGCCTAGGTTTACTTGGCCTCAGGACAGGAGGCTGGATCTGATGACCTTTCAAGGTCCCATCCAGCCCTACATTTCTATGAATCTTTATCATGCACTTATGATTGCCTCCATTGCTCTCTGCCTGGCAATCATTTCCTCAGGACTTACTCCATACTAACCCTCCTCAGCAGCTTCCAAGAAACAACTCTGGGTTTTTTTGTTTGTTAGTTTTTTTTAAAAGGAACAACCTGCCATAAAAACATTTCCTTCTCAGCTCCCACTCCCCCCAGGAAAAAGGAAAAGATGCTTCCACTTGAGACATACAACAAGCAAGATTCATTCCTGCACCAGGTTTTCAGTACTGTACGTTAAAATGTCATTACTTCAAAGTTTTAATTTGCAGCCCTGCAGTTAGAAAATGGAGTTTTATTTCATTGGGAAAGGGAAGATGTCCAACTTCCCAGTACAATCCAAAATTCTAGCTCTAAGAGGGCCTGGTGTCTGATTTTAAAGTCATGACATTTTTAGGTATAGAAGAGTAATTTTAGGTCATTTCTGGAGCTTTTTATGGCTCTCCATCAGCCCTGAACAGTTGGTTTCATGATAACCAAGGCTCCATTCCTACAATGAACTCTGCATAGATAGATCTCTCCACCCATAGGGAGTTCAAAGGACTGGGGAAGAAGACTGTACAGCAAGTGGGACAGATACAGATAGATATACTTTAAATTATTTAAATTTCTACCATAGCAGAATACTTGATAGTGTGGTATACAATAAAGGCTTACCAGTAATCATAACTACAAAGTGGTTTCACTTTTATACTACCACACCACAGCATTCCGTGTGTGTATATAATAATGATACACACTATGAATTATAGAAGCATGAAAGTTTTCTATAAATCAATTAATTTTGTTTTGGAGCTCATGAACACTATATTCAACTTTCTGAATTTTTATCTTGCTGTTAAAACAACATTTTCTTCAGGAGATTTATTATCTTCCTGCACTGTCTTCTTACTCCACTGGAGCTCAGTAATGTCTGGAGACATTACAGGCATAACCTTAAAATGTGACATACTGAACAAACAGATTTACGGAATCCTCTTGCCTTCACTTGGATCATCAGAACATTTGCTCCTTGAGCAGGCAGAAACAGAGAGCCCAGAAAAAATTGTGACATCTTCTGTTGCATAGGTGTGTGCTGATAAATCAAGGACAGACAAGTAACCTGCTGACAGCCAATGGTAAGAATAATGTATTTATACAGATCAGTATTTCAGGAGCCAACACACTGGCAACTAAGGCCTGGCCCACTTAGCAGGAACATTTTATTGCTCAAATAAAAGCAACGCTGCTCTGTTTTAATCAGGGATTAAAATATGAAGCACCATTGAAGTTTTAAGTATTATAATCCTTGTTCTAAAACTTCTATATTGACCAATTTAGAGACTTATCTCTGCGACTGATTTTTGCTAAATGCAAAAAAGTTTATAGAATTGCTTTAAAAAGTGTTTTTAGTTACTTAACTTTCGCCCTAGAATGGTTGGGAGGGGGAGACAGGCAGAGCGAGAAGTGTTCAAAGCCTGCTCTTCTTTAGGTAACCGAACACAGTGGAATTCCCTATTTTAAAAATGTTTTTGTTTTGTTTTTTTCAAAAAACCTAATCAGACCAATGAAAGTCTCATTTAAAGCATGAGCACTAGTGCTACATCAGACAAATGAGTAATCCTGAACACAAAAGGCTTTAGACTGGGTAGGTCATTTCCAGTCAACTTAATCCTGTTCACTCACCTATGTAAGCATTGAGCTGAAATTAAAAAATGATCCTTCTAGCTCTGAAGTTCTCCCACTGAAACCAAGCACCCCATCTGGGGAAAATGGCTGTATATTATTGCAACTGTGGTGCTCTACTCACCTTTCTTCTCTCAAATGTCTCTGTTATTAACTGTTCTTTATGCAACATCAAACAGATTGTAAACTCCTTTGGGAAGGGACCATGTGCCAACTTCTCTCATTTACATGGTGTCAGCTAGAGTAACTACACTGAAGTAGTTACACATTTCAACCAGTGTAAATGAAAGGAGCTGGTCCTCAGGTCTCTTTTTTGTCTCAAGTGCCACACACATCTATGATGCTATAATAATGTCCCTGGAACGAGGCAACACATTCCAATAGCATACAAATGACTACAATATTAAGCAGCACTGGCACCAAAATTGGACTGTTAAATTATTCATGTTGATGTGGGTTTATGGCTGCCGTCAGTCTGAGAATTTTACTTTCAGACTATAGGTACTGTTATTATTGCAACATCCCACTAATGGAGCTCACTACTGAGCAATTGTGAGGCAGAGATTGCAGAAAGACTGAAACAGCACTAGGCAGATCTATGAGGACATCTGCAGTTAAACTAACTCAGACACAATTACAAGGGCTTGGAGTCTTCATGCTTCAGGGCAGGAGCTAATCAGCAGGTGGTGGTACAGTAGTGTACTGCGCAATTAGGTGTGTTATGTTTGTTTTGCATCTTGTGAACCATTCAGCATTAGGTACGATTAGAGACAGCATACCAGAACAAATCATTCATTGGTTTGCTTCAGCCACTTTAATCTCCAAGCTATCTAATGTAAACACTGAATAATATTCCCTTTACAGAGCAATTATACTCTGAAAAGTGACTACTTCAAAAGCCACCTTCCTACTTAGCAGGTCTAGTTCCAGTGTGTATTCATAGTCGTATCTGCTGATTTTTACCAAGGGGTGGGGGGTGTGGGGGAAAGCCCTCATTACTTTTTACTAATTATCACTATAGAACCTACACTTCTATGCAAGTGACCTTGTGTCTATAGAGGCTTATACATCAGCAGTTGGATCCAATTGTAGGACCGTGTCCACCTGTGCAACCCTAGTGAATCAATCTAAAAAAAACTGCATCTAGTTAGCTTTTTCCCTCTCACCCAAACGCATAAAGAAAAAAGACAATCCAAGGAATCAGATAAGAGGGTTGCACAGCTAACCACAAGCAGATCTGGCCTATATAGTTTTTATTGCTAGTGATAATGCCTAAGCTAGAGGAAAATATACCCAGGTTAGCATCCTGATGCCATGTTGAGTTTGCAGACCTGGCAGTTGGAAAAATAAGCAGACCTTTGTAAGCTGAGCACATTGGATTTAGAAATCACGATAACACAAAAAACACTGAACCCTACACACTGCCATTTTCACTAAGGCTTTGTCTTCACTGACATTAAAGTGTGTGTGTTTGACAGCAAGAAAACTAAACACACAACAGCTAGCTCACTATAAAATCCCAAGTGGAGACAAGACACTTATAGTGTTTACTGGGAAGTTGCTAGGCAAGGTCAGCACTATACACCTCCCTTCCCCCCCACCCCTTGATCTTGCCTACTTTATCTCCCCGTAAAACTAAAGTGGCTTGTCTCCATTATGTTTTTACAGCAGCATTGCTAATGTGTGTTAGTTATCTTATGATGTAAACATCTTTTTGTCAGGAAAGACATAGGCCAAGTCTCTTTTCAAAGAGAAGCCGCTCTTTAAAGCTGTTCACAGATTGTGCAGTCTAGCAACAGTAACAGAATTAGGTCTCCTCAACCAAAACAGATATCAACTGCAGAGATATAGTAACAAGATGATTTTCGTGACATATGGGAGACTCTTTCCATCTAGTTAAACACAACTTGTGTTTGGAATTAGCTAGTTATTATAAAACATGCTTAAATGCACTAATAAAAGGAACCCCAAAAAAAGATGCAAAATTGGCATCCCCAAAAATTTCAGATCCCTTCCCCAAATTAACCAAATTTTGTACACTTGTGGAAGTTCCACTGTACATAAGTGAGAGGGCCCAAGTATCCCCTCATGTCTTAGGAACATACTTATCCCATCCACTGGACCTGTTGCACACCGCACTGCTTGGACACAATTCGCACAGCTGGGATTAGAGCTACCCCACTGCAAATAAATAGGAACAGACAACGAGCCACACATGGTATGGCTGAAGAGCAACTGCTGTTACCCTTCTTCCCCATACAATAAAGCTCACCCATCTATCAACTGCAACAAACCTTTCCACCACGCCATCTGTTAGATTAAGGGTTGAATCATCTCCCAGACACTGTACAGACCCGCTTGTTACCCACCTCCACCAGACAGCCACCTGCCTTAACCCATTGCACGCTATAAACAAGACATCCACTCCCACCTATCCACCCATCTCACTTTCCTGCTGCATCAACCCACAAACACAACCCCTGTCTGCCTCCAGTTATGTTCCTGGGGGGCATGTCATCCAACAGATGTCAAATCTACTGATCTCCCAACCAGCCAATATGCACACCCCGCCTCCCAAAGGATGCGCTGGTCAAGGCATTGAAGAAGCAAGAGATGAAGAGCTGCCATATTATATATATATAAAAACACAAGCCCCAACTCTCCACTTTTTGAACTAGTTTGATACTGATGACTTTGTATTTCAATGGTCAACACTAACTTAATGTAACCAGTCTGGACCTCAAAGCTACTTACTCCACAGTACTGATCATCATTAAATATCTGGGGTGGCAGTGGATTGCCCTGTGCAGGCTGTCTTTCCTCAGGAATATTTTTATACATCCATTGTCTTTGTTCCTCCGACATTGTGATATCCACCTCTTCAAAATCTATCCTGTTGGCTTCCAGAAATCGTACCACATCTTGCTGCCTCTTCTTTATCTGAGAGAGAGAGAGAGAGAGAGAGAGAGAGAGAATACATCACAGCTAGCCCATCATTACTAAAGATATGTTTACAAGCCTGAATATGCTTGTCTATTTTTTACTCAAAACTCAAAAAGTTCAATAAGAACATCAAATATTTCTAAGTTAAAATTATGTGACTTAACACTGCAGTTTCTTTATGTACAAGTTACAAAAGTCTACAAACTTCTGCCTCATTTCTAGGCGGTTGGCTGGTTTTTTTTGGAGGGGGGGTAGTTTTGGGTTTGTTTTTTTCTTTAAAAAGATGCCTGTGATAGAGGAACACCTGGCTTGTACTCCAAATAAGTCAAAGATAAAAGGGTAGCTAGTTTGCAGATTCACCATGCATTACTGGCCACATTTTAAAGGTATTTAGGCACCTAAAGATGCAGATAGGCACCTAGTAAGATTTCCAAAGTGTCTACTTTTTAAAATGTGGCTGTGAGTTTCCTGAACACAGTTTATTCATTTCTTAGGTTCATACAGAACATGTGCACATGCTCTGAGATGGGGATGGTCTTGTCTCACACCAGCTTTGTCTTCACTGAAAAAAGGGGGGAGGTGCATTATGGGGGCTTTGTTTTGGGGGGGAGGGTTTAATAGAACTTGTTATCTTGACATAAATTCCTAGCAGAAACAGCACACAGGTAGTTTTTACCCTGATGTAGCTAGTCAAAGTCAACTCTATACCACAGCGCACACACCCCTCCCAGTGTTTACCTTGACCAGTTACATTGGGGTTAAAAACCTGCCCGTGCCCTGTCTTCACTAGGCATTTTGTATAAAAGGGATAACTGTAAAAACACACCTTTTTGCAGTGAAGACATAGCCATAGAGTCTTCGAGATTGAGGGAAAGCCTCGGGTTTACTAATTCGGCCAGGATTGGTTCTGCAATACAACCAGCTTCACGCTATTTCCAGCACGTCCCAGATCCTTCTACTAAGGCACATTCCACCTAAAAGGGGCTACATACTGTGTTCACTATGACTACTCAAACATGATTCCCAGCCATACTGTGTGGAGATAAACTTATACTTAAGAATTTTACAGTATAAAAATACTATGGAGCAAGATCTATCCACTTGCCTGTTGGATTAAATTACGGGTGGATGGATGTTACCTTTGGGTATCATAGGACCCAGACAGTATTTAAAAACCATTAGTTTTTCAAGTGCATGTACTAGCTGTATTTGTCACACCACTATTTGTCACACCACTCTTCATATTGGATTTATTTGATACATCAGATCACAAAAATAATAATCTCCAGTGAAATTTATTACAGATTACAGTAGAAATTCATATTCAGATGACTTCCAGTGGTGAAATAATTATGTCCTCTTTGAAACAAAGACCATGGATATCTCCAAGAGGGTTTGGTCCAATTTCTGCAAAACAACGTAATTCTAAAATGTCTGAACATTTATGTGCTCTGTTGCAGAAGGAAACTGATTGGCTCTTATATGTGTATTCCTTGTAACTTAACCAGTTATTCAATAAATTTGTGTTTCATTCAGTGGTTGGTTCCTTCTTTTATGTATGCCATACTGATTTTTCAAACAATGCACATTATGAAAGATCAATCACTGTCATACCAAATTTATCTTCTAAAACTGTATGCAGAAAATACAAATAGTAGCTCAATTACCATCATTACCACCATTTTTCCGCTAATCAAAGCACAATGCTAAAAGTAAAATGACTTCTTGTACTATGACATTAAACTCAAAGGAATCATATTGTGACTGTAGAAGTGAGAGATACAGTTCTTATCCTCAGTAACTTACAACAGAAGATGAGAGACAACTTCAATCTGAAATGGAGATTGAGATTTTCTTAATACTGGCCATTTTATTAAATATTTGTTCAAGTAAAGATGTGCAGACTAGGATGATATTGCAGGAGGGTTTTCCTTGGAAATTCTGCATGTGCAATGGAAGATTTTTAAAAATAAAATTCCTTCCCATTCCACAATGTTCATTCTGCCTGACAATTTCCATTAGTCTTGGACGCTGACCTATCAGACAACTGACAATTGCAACTTAGATTTAATCAGATCCTCAACTGCTGTATTGATCACACAAAGTGAAAATTCTTGGATTTCCTTTACCTTTTATGTAGCATGATCCTAATTTGCCTTTAACATAGTAAAAAAGTCATCACAATTTAATACGGTATTAATCTTTAGAGCTCAGTGCTTGACTCCTATATTATACATGCTGATCGATCATTTAGTACATATGCACTTTGTCTTTGGTTTTATTGTTAATCCATACTGCAAGTCACAAAAATAAAACTGAAAAACAGAAATCCCCATCTACACCAGATGTAGACTTCATTTTTGCAACTGGTCTCCCTATCAGGTTACAAAACAGCAACAAACAGTGTGTCATGTAAATATGCACAGAACTGCTGTAATTATGTAGTTTGTCACTCATCTGTTGGTGAAATTGCTCATCTGATAGATGGGGCTTTTGCAATGGGGAACTGAAACGTCAAGATTCTTATTTCTTGTTCATATGTTTTATTGATTTACTCCAGTAAATGAAAAGGCATCCAATGCTAAATCACATGTACTGTTTCTAAAAGCTACTTCAAAGAGGGTCTAACAAAATGAATATGTACAAGCTGTTTAGATCCATGTGAAAGTTTCGTTAACCCAAAACATGGTCAGATTCACCCAATGATTCCGCAAAACCCAACAAGAACCAGGCTAGGTCACCCCTGTCCTCACAGGAACTTGTCATTTCCAACAAGTCAAGCCTATCCTCTACTTTGCCCTCCCCTGTGTTTACTGAAATGGGAATGGAGAAAGATGGCCTAGTGACTTGGCTCCTATTGTCTTCAGTGGAATGGATGGCTTGTTCCCACCTCCGGATTTCCAGGAGGCAGAGAACTTACCTCCTTTCCTTATTCTGATTTTGTAGGATAAAGGAGAGTTAACTGGGTTAGCAGGGAATACATGTAGAGGTTTCCCCAATAGCCTGGTGCATCCTGAGACATCTCTCAGTGTAGAGTGCTAGAGTAGTATTGACAGCTGTCAGAGTTGATGAGCCTAGCTTGTGATCCTACAAAATCAGGATGATGATAAAGCTTCATACTTCTGCACCATCTTTGATCCAAGGACCTCAATATGCTGCACACAAAATTAGTTAATTTAATGTCATGACACCTCTCTGGGATAGATCAGAATTACTATCCCCATGCTGTATAGGTGATTAGACTCAGAGAGAAATATTAATGCAATTTTTCCCTCAGGGAGAACTGCAAGACACTAAAATTTACTCACCCTTGAACTTAAAAGATTTTTAAAATACACTCAACTCTGCTCTGCGCTGCCCACCTGTTTAGCCGAAGTTCCAAGAACAAATCAGTTTTCTTTATAACATGATAAAAACATTGAGACCATGCAGATGCATCAAACAAGACATTCTGGTTTTGAGATAGCATGACAACATTAATACTTGCTCCTGCAAGGATTGATACAGTTAACATGTGTAACAAACTTGGAATATTTAGAATTTGACAAATGCTATGTATTAAATTTACATTTCTGATATAAACAGACAAAGATACACCTACTGAAATGAAAACGTGTACTATCAAAAAGTTATCTGATATTCCCTAGGCCATATGATGGAACAACACAGATTGTCAAGCAGAATTAATGGCCATTGCATACTACTATTAGTACCTTTTAAACCATGTTATATATCACTGGTGTAGTATATTCATTCTGATTCTAAGATTCTTATCAAAGATAAATTAATTTGCCAAATTTCATAGCATTTGCTGCAGCAATGCTTTGGGCTCTAACCAAGGACAATATAAAAATTAGCCCTGGAGTGCCACAGGATTCTAGTGACCTCTGTTATATTGATCAAAGAGAGAAATATTGTAATATGTAATCTTTACATTTAATTTTAGACGATTTATACTTGTATTATCGACAGAAGGAAATGTCGAAGAGTTTGGGATTTATGAAGAAATTAGCTAGATATTATACCTTTTTGTCCTATAAACATAGGATCAATATGTCTTTAGAAATCTGAGTGCAAGTGAAATGTAAAGAATTGGGACTATGACTAGAAACCTATGCTGTAATGTTTTTCAGGCAGATATAACAACTGTTTCATCAGCTTGACCCAAGGGAACTACCATCTTCAGGGGATCAGACTCCATAATGAAATACCACGCCCTTTTATTTTGCATGCACAATGAAAGTCTTCATGGAAAGTGAGGACTACTATTTTTTTGTTCAAATGGAAGTCTAAGTTTATCTGTCTTGACACAGATACTGTATGTCTGTCTCCAGAAAGTGGTGATCAGTTACCAATACTTTCTTTACATAAGCTTTTTTCCCCCCACTCTTCCAAAGTAAAAATAGGTCAGCAACATGTTGTGGATATAAAACTATTAAATCAGCGTCTTCTGTTACCATGTTAGTGTTCAGACAGTGTTTTTACAAAAGATAAGTAAATGTTTTGTAAATCTCTTAAATGTGAGCAATTTACCTTTGAGGGGAAAAATAGATTTGGTTGCTGTGCATTATAAGGTGTGACTGTTTATCGAAATGCTATTAAAATGATAACAACCTGCAGTAAATTGTACCCAAGAGCCATTCAGTCCCTCTGGAGCCACTAGATTCTTTTCTGAACCGTCTCTCCTAGGATTTCTGTATTATTTCATCACCACCCATGAGGTGGGCAGATAGACAAGTTCATGAACTTAAATAACTGTTTACTTCCATCTCTAAAAACCGACACTAGATTAACTTCAGTGGGACTCATGAGTAAGGGGAACAGGATTTGGCCTGATACTTAGAGAGGAATCAAAGTGATCTGGTGAACTCTAGCCATTTCTGAACTGGGGGTGTCTGAAGGAGCACAGAAAGTGTGGACACGTTCTTTCATATAGCATTTGTTCTTTGGTAGGGAGTTGTTGTTACAGGGCTAGCTGCACCTCTGTTCCCCATCTG